CGGATGGAGCCTGGTCATGGTGATGGGCACCCGTGGGTGGGTGACAGCTCTGCCCGGGGGGTGCCAGCGTGCTGCCTTGGGGGGAAAAAGGGGTTCCCCGAATCCTGAAAGGATGTGGTGGGATGGGATTAGCCTCGGGCAAGGACTCCCAGAGCTGCTGGGTGGCAAGCAGCCATCTTCCGAGGCGTAGGTACATTCACAGCCCCTGCTCCATTGAGCACATCGTCCCCGGGGGGGTGAAAATGGGGTTACTCCACCGACTTGGGTTTATTCCACGACTTGGGTTTATTCCACGTCTACTTGACCAGCCTCACCTCCGCCGAGGGAGGCACCATCTCATTAGCACACAGCCCTATCTCAAGCACGCGGTGATGAATTCCCCCCGGAGCTTCAAAAGCAATACATGTGACCTTTGCATGTTCCTGCCATAAAATACCAGGAACACCTCCAGCTCCCAAGATAGAAGCTGTGGTGGGCATATGTGAGCAGCGTACACCATATGGATTAAGTCAAGGGAATACTTAGAAACTTGGGCTCTGCCTTCAGCAAAATTAATTCCGGCAATGTTTTTTAGCAATTTCTTGAGGATTTTGCCGTGTGTTTATGAAGTGCCGATCACCGCAAAGGGATCTTTCAGCCCGGGTTCTTTGAAGTCTCTCTAGCCCCACTCTTACAATAGCTTTGGATTTAGTGGAGATCACAAAATGCAGCATAAAATGTTAATATTAAAACGAAGGCTTTCCTCTAAAAAGGAAAGGCCTGTGCTGCCTGGAGTGGCACAGACATAAATCTGGCTCAGGGTTTCATTCAGACTCCTTCAGACCCACTTTTTTTTTTTTTTTTTTACTATCTCATATTGCAGCAGCAACAAATAAAACATTTAGGCATGCTTAAATATTGATTTCATCTCCAGCACACAGAAGTTCCTTTCTACCAAGTACTGTAACAACTACTGAGGCATCTTACCGGGGGGTTTAAAACTATTTAAAGCTCTTTTATGTGTAAAACTTTTGCTTTTGGGAGCAAATTCTGTCTAATTGGGAGAGGAGCCAGCAGAGCGCCGAGAGCCGGAGCTATCTGGAGGTTTATCTGATCTCGGTGATAAAATTCCATCCCCGGGGTGACCTAAAAAGGACTGGAAAAGACATGTGCTATGTGCTACGTGGATCAACGCTGCGCTAACGGCAAAGCGAGATGGATGATCTCATAGGTGTTTTCCAGCTCTCCTCCCCGCGGCGCCTCAGGAGCCACTCAGAGACCAGGCTCCTTCTTTGTCATTAAATATTTTGGCAATGACACATTGTGCCCCTGGACTGCCCAGTGACAACAGCTCAGCTAAACACCCAGGAGGAATTTCAACTTCTGCATATCTCTTCAGGCCGGGAGATAATTCCTGACTTCTCTGAATAGGAGGAGAGGCTGCCGTTCTCCAGTTAAGTCATGTTAATGATCTCAGAGATTAGCGGAGCTGGTTTGGAAATCTCAGTATGTCATTAATGTCGAGGGCTTCCGGGAGAAAGCGCTATTTATGGACTGCCTTCAGAGCGACCTAGGCAGGGGCAATCTTCTCTGGCGGGTGGTGAAGGGCACCCAACTCCCATCCCCGCTGCATGGCTTCTTCCATCTGGGAAGCAGAGGGAGCAGAGCCTCTGCTCCAGCACAGCCCATGAGGTGAGCAGTGATAGTAACAGTTTTCCTCCATGTGCACCCAAAACCCATCACTTCCATGGGCAGGAAAATGCATCCTCAAAGAAGCTGGCTGCCTATGAAGCCCTGATGCCCCATAGCATCTGTGGTCCAGCCTTGCAGCATATGTGGTCCAGCCCCACAACATCCATGGTCCAGCCCTGAAGCATCCATGGTCCAGCCCTGAAGCATCTGTGGTCCAGCCCCACAACATCCATGGTCCAGCCCTGAAGCATCCGTGGTCCAGCCCCACAACATCCCTGCTCCAGCTCTGAAGCATCCATGGTCCAGCTCTGAAGCATCCATGGTCCAGCCTTGCAGAATCTGTGGTCCAGCCCCACAACATCCGTGGTCCAGCCCCACAACATCCATAGTCCAGCCCTGAAGCATCCGTGGTCCAACCCTGAAGCATCCGTGGTCCAGTGCCACAGCATCTGTGATCCAGCCCCACAGCCTCCGAGGTCCAGCCCTGCAGCATCCACAGTTCAGCCCCACAGAACCCATGGTCCAGCCCTGCAGCATCCATGGTCCAGCCCTGCAGCCCCACGATGGCCAGTATGGGGTGATGTGACTGTGGTCCCACAGCCCTGAGCTCCATCACCCGTCCCGCTCCCTACCTGCCAGAGCCCCAGCTCCCCGTGGTGCCGGGGATGGGTTATTAATCAATGCCACATGCTTTCCCTTTCAAGTCACTGGAAAAAATGCACTAGCCCTCGCGCTGCTTGAGAAGTCGGGAGGGCTGGGGGATGGGGGGAGATATCAGAGTCCTTTGGGCTGAAGCCACATCCGCAGTGGATTTCACACGCCAAACGCCGGTTCGCAAAGCTCCTCTCTCCCCAGCATATTTAAGGCTCAGCCAGTAATTACAGCGCTCTTTCAGACACAGAAATGGGCTGGAGAATCAGCTGATGGCCAGTGAGGCTCTCTGCTGAAACCCCCTAGGTTTGTTATTACCACTGATGGTTGGTTACTGCAGGAGGGCTCAGGGGCTCCATCAGAGCCCGTGGTCCCATCCAGCCCGGAGCCGCACCAACACCTCCTAAGGACCATCCTTCAACGAGCAGATAAATGACAAGGAGCTGGAGGAAGGAAAAAGCAGTTTGGTCGAAATTGCAGAGAGGGTCAGCAAGCAAAGCACCCTCTGTGTCCCAGCACGGGGGACGCTGCGATGCCAGCCCACCCAACACGCTGGGAGGAGGGGGGCCACCAAGGGTATGGGGCTGTGGGGATGCTCAACCTCCCCTCCCAAACCCAACGGCACCCGTCTCATCTCACCCTTCCAGTTATCCATCAGCCCGGGAGCTCCACATCTGAAAGCCATTTAAGACACTGCATTTGTAACCTAATACTTTGAAGAAATAATAAAGCGAGCCAAATTTAACCCAACAGGGCTGGAGACGCCAAATCTCTGCCCGCTGCCTTTCTAGAGACTTATGAAATATGTACACGGGGGAGGTGGAAATACAGACAAGCCTTCTCTGGAGCCCAGAGACACCTCTGATGGCCACCCAGCTGCGGAGACGGCGAGGGAAATGAAGCAGGAGACACATCAGAAGGATGTCTGGGGTGGTAGAAGCTGGTTTCTCAATGCAGTACTGCAGCTGTGCAGCATTAGGAGGTGTGGGCCCTCTGCAAGGCACCCAAGAGAGACCAAGCCTTGCCCAGGAGCACCCTCTGCTCTGCCCAAGGACTTCAGCATCACTGCCAGTGTCTCAGAACCTGGGTGTGTTAATGACAGAGCTGAGGCTGCTGATACAGGACCAGTTAATGAAGGCAAAGCTGAGGGTAATTTGCTGGTGATACTACAGGCTCCACAACAGCCACATTATGGAAAGCCAATACACAAGACACGTGTAACAGATAATTGGCCAAACTCTAAAAGCAGCCTCTACAACGGTAACAAAACTTGCTTGTAAATCATTAGTCCTCAGAAGAAGAGAGACCTTCTGCAACCAAGATCAGACAAGGTGGTGGCCAAGTTCTGAGCCCGCTGGTGCTCCACACAAGCCTACAGAACCAACTCTTGCTGCAATTTGCTGAATCTCACCAGAGAGCTTCTCCAGGAGGCTGTGAGACTCAGCACAACCTTCCTGTCCCGCAGTGCACGACCCCCTCAGCCCAAGCACCTCCTCACACACTTTGTCCCACCCTTGAAAGACCTTTACACCAGGGAGTAACGCTTCCTGTAGACACGCTTCAGCTTTCACTGACCTCGCAAGGTGGAAGGTTTTATTGTGTTGTTGCTCTTACCTGCGAGGCAGCAACCCCACCAGAACAACCCTTACCTAACAAGGACTGGAAAATCCCTCCACGGTCTGGCAGGACTACACCTCCACGTGTCCGTGCCAACAGATCTGCCCAGCAGACCATGCTAAGCACCAGTGCCAGTGGTCAAATTCCACGTCTGGGTACTTGCACTCAACTGAAATGCTCTAATGGATTTGAGGAATGTGCAGTGATATAACAGCAGTGACGTGGGCAACACCGTGCTGTGGCATTTAGAGACACCTGGGAAAGGAGAGACAACCCGGGACCAGCATTTCTGAGAATCATAGAATCATCTAGCTTGGAAGGGACTTTCAAGATCATCAAGTCCAACCATCAACCTAACTCTGACAAAAAAATAAATATGAAATAAAAATCACTAACCATATTCTTGAGGACCATGTCAACCCGTCTTCTGAACACCTCCAGGGATGGTGCCTCCACCACTTCCCTGGACAGCCCATTCCAATGCTTGATAACCCTTTCGGTGAAAAAATGTTTCCTAATATCCAACCTAAACCTCCCCTGGTGCAACTTGACACGTTTTTGACTAGGAAATCCTCTTTCCTCTGACGCCATCTGCCCAGTTGGCTACGGATGGAGAAATGCTGAAGAAATGCATTCAGATGTGGCCAAAGGAAAAGGAGTCAGGGTCAGCACACCCATCCTGACCAGCACCTCCTCCTGCAGTAGGGATGCCACAGGGATGAGTATGGGAGATGACGATGGTCATATAATCAGAGCACAGTCCTGAGTGATCTGCATCTATTGGTTCTTCCGCAAACCTGCTCCATGGGGCAACCTGCACTGTTCCTACCATCATCTGGTTCACCCCGTTCTTCTTGCACCACATCCCAAAACCCCTACGTGAAGCGAGAGGCACTGAAACGCACTCAAGATCCTGCGCTGAAGCAATTCGTGTCATCTCCTTTGGAGAGCCTGAACAAAAACTTCCTCTTCAAGGCCTTGTGTTCCACACGATCACTTAAAAAGACTGAATGTCCACTCTGGGATGCCCAGGCAAGGAGAAAAACAGCAGCAATACTCACCCATCTCCTTGAGCTCCATATTAACAAGCTCCAACCAGTAAGCATCAAGCTCGTCCAGGTCATAGCGGCTCACTCCTTGCAAGTAAGTCCTCGTAGCTTCCGAAATCTCGGAGCCGGGCAGGCTACTTGGTGAAACCTGTGAAGGCGAGTTCTCCAGCTGGGGTATGATCCTGGAAGAAAAGAAGGAGAGCCTGAGAAAGAGCTACAACTCACCAAAGTGTCCCATTTCTTGCCATGGAGGGTGTGACCATGCCATGTCCAAACCTGACTCTAAGAAGGAAAGCACAGCCAGAAAAACCAAAGGGGTTTTGTGCTCCTGGTGTCATCTCCTGTGCTTCGGGTGCGGTGAGGACCACAACTTGGGACACAAGCACTTTCCCAGAGACTGCTGATCTGAGGACCCTATGTGATGGTCTGAGTTGGGATGCGTCAAAACAACCTGATTTTCAGAAAACGCTGAGCAAAGCCCAGAGTTTGTGCTTTTCTCAGTGTCCCAGAGAAAAGCAGCACCACGGCTCTGGCAGGGAGCGATCTGGGAATCAGCAATTTTGGTTTTTGGGCTGCGTCTCCATCTGCCTCCATGTATCCTTCCCTGCAGATCGGTGGTGTAACACCAATCCCTTCAGAAATAGACCCAGCACTGCTCCCACACACAGGCTTTACTGCTCCACCTCATTCTTCCTGAACACCCGCTGATGCTTTTTGGTGGGAAGCAGCCCGTTCCCCGCGGGGCTCCTCGCTGCAGAATGGCCCCAGGGAAGCCCCGAGCGGGCGGCTCTGTGCTGGGCTCTCCCCAGGAACACGCCTGCTTTTCAGCAGCTCCACAATTTCCCCTCACACCATGAGGAATTAAGCTGTTTTTCCACTTTGCGTGGCTCCTTTCTTCCTCCCCACCCCGCATCACCACCAGCCTGGTGGCAGCAGCTTCCTACGTGTTCGGATTCCTGAGTCAAATAACTCAACCTACAGCCACCAGCATCAACCTCATGTTGCTCCCTGTGATGTTAGATGGTTATTTCTCCCCACGGGGGGACACGCAGGAATAGCACACCAGGGCACAAACAGCCCATTTGGCAGAAATACCCTGTCCTGACTGTGAAACTGGGAAATGTGATGTGGAAAACACGTGCAAGCACAAGATTGGGGCTGTGATGAATAGCGATGCTCTTGCCCAGAGCCAGTGGTCCTGCCAGCAATGGGGGGGGACCATGACACCAACCCATCCCTGCTCCACGGCTGGGAAGGGGCATCCCACACGCCCCAAAAAGCAGGATGAGCCTGAGCCACGGGGTAAACATGGGGACAAGGCTTCGGGAAGGGCTTCTGCTCACCCCTGTTGTCTCAGCCACGCTGCTGATCCAGCTCCTTCCCCGCTGTTTGGCACCACCACGTGCTCCATGCCCCGTGAATATGAGACTCTCTGCCCAGAGGATAAATTTAAGCACAGTGCCCTGTCCTACTTACAGTGGGAAACATGAGCTCAGCCAGCGGCAGCCGAGCACCTTCTCCCCACCGTGCCCTGCCTGAAGTTCTCAACAGGAGCAGAGACACCCATCGAGTCTCTCCTGAGGTCTCTGAGGACTGGAGGAAGCCCCAGCTCTGCCAGTGCTTCCCCTCTCGCCTGGCTTGGGACCAGACTGCAGGAAAAATGAGTCCCAGGTTGGTGACCAGAAGTTGCCCAGCTTTTCTTGCTGTCCTGTCCCCGACGATGCCCGCAGTCCTGGCCGGGCTCTCTGCTTCCAGCCCCACTGCACCGAAGTCGACCGATGGGCTCATGCTGAGTCAGTCCCATCACAGGTCCATGGCAACTTTCCTTCACCCACAGCAACAGTTTTCCCATTTATCTACAGAAATTAACTCTTTGTATGTGAAAAATGAGGTCTGATGAATACAATGGTCCAAATACTCATCACAACAGTGACTCCTCCAGCCATTGACTCTGCACAAACAACTACTGCTAATTTACCAGGGCACAACAGAGACCAGATCGTGGTCCAGACCTGCTCAGATGAGATGCCCAAACAACTCTGTGCAGGTACCCACTCCCCAGAGCACCTTTTGCAGGCAAAGCAACCACTCATTTATCCAAGCCCCTGCCACCAAGCCCCCACGTTGCCACCATGGGATGCCTCCAGCATCCTTGGGGGGATCCATTCATCCCTTTGGCAGGCTCGGCCATGGAGAACACCCCACGGTGGTCTGTGGGATTTGTCCTGAGCCCTCTCTAATGGCAAGCAGAGGGATGGGGAAGAGCAGCAGGCTCATCTGCTGCAAACCCCCCCCCACAGAAAGTGACCAGGCACTGGCTGTCAGCTCTTCTGCCTCTTTCTTGGCAACTCGGCGGCGCCACGCATGACACTTTGCCATGCACACGTCAACAGTGTCGCGCCTAACGACATGCAAGCAGGGGACGAGCTGGAAATGAAAAGCAGCCTGGCGTGCCAGCTGACAGATCCCTGCGAAGCCGGGAGCTGGAGCTTGCTGTGGTATTTGCACAGCTCACGTTTCCTCCCCGAAACACCACCTCCCGCCACAAAACGTCGGCACAGAAAAGAGGCTCCAAAGCAACAAACAAGCAAAGAACAACCCGCTGCAGCCCCATCTGCCCCTTCCCAGCAGCTCCTCCGCCGTGCAAATTGAGGAGCCGACCCTTCTCCTGCACCAGCACCAGCTGGGAAGCCCCTGCAAGACTTTTATCTGCCTTCTGTCCTGATCTGTAAGTTGATGTCAGAGCTCCGTGACGGGGCTGGGGCAAAGCCATCGTGTCCATCATGTAACCAGCTGAATTGTGGTACCACATGCTGCCAGGTCTGTGTGTGCCCAGGGAAGGAATTCATACACAGCTCCCTCGGGAACGGGACCCCGCTTGCTGTGCCCAAGTCGGGAAGGAAATCTGTGGCAGGGCAGGAACACAAATCTGGATTTTCTCTACTCCCAGCATTAAACTAAACACAGTTTAGTTGCCGTCCTCTGCCACCATGACCATTGGAGGCACTTCTGGTGGGAGAGACCATTGGAGGCACTTCCAGTGGGAGAAGCAATAATTTGACTGCTCAGAGAGGGAAACATCAAGCAAGGGGTTCTTTCTGCCTCTTCTGCCTTACTTTCCCCCAGCAGTGAATTGAAAATAAAGATGTGCCCTAATGCCCTGAGGACATGTCCAAATTTCAGTTCAGGATCTGAAAATAAGCCCATGAAAAGACAGCTCTCAGTGCCCAGCTTTTAACACGAGCTCACTCCAATCTAGGCCAGGGCTTGGGGATTCAGCAATGTCTGTATTTAATGCAGAGAGCAGTAATAACACTGAAACCAGGCGTGCTCCGGCCAGGCTTCAGGACTCTCATCTAAGGAGCTCCCAATCCCCTAAAATATCCAGGAGTTGCTGATGCAACATAAGTTGGTCCAGGAAGGACTGAATTTCTCCTTCCCTGGGGGCCTACAGGAGAGATGGGGAGGGACTCCTGATCAGGGAGGGGAGCTATATGATGAGGGGGAACCGTTTTACACTGAAAAAGGGGAGATTTAGGTTAGAGATTAGGATATATGACAAGGGGGAACGGTTTTACACTAAAAAAGGGGAGATTTAGGTTAGAGATTAGGAAGAACTTCTTTGGTGTGAGGGTGGTGAGAGCCTGGCCCAGGTTGGCCAGAGAAGCTGTGGCTGCCCCATCCCTGGAGGGGTTCAAGGGCAGGCTGGAGGGGGCTTGGAGGGGGCCTGGTCTGGTGGGAGGTGTCCTTGCCCGGGGCAGGGGGTGGCACTGGATGGTCTTTAAGGTCCGTTCCAACTTAAACCATTCTATGATCCCCACAAGCCCAGGTCCAGCTTGACTTTGCAAAACCCAAACTCTGTGGCCCGGCAGCAGGCTGGGCACAGCGCTCTTACAGGAGAAAAGCTCAGAGCTGTCGATCCAAAACCCACCTCCTCCAACTGGGATGAATGTTCCCGTTGGAAAGAGCCATCCAGGCAGGCAGGGGACGGCTCCGTAAGCCCTCGTTAAGCCGAGTTACACAAGCTGCTGGCCCCACGGCCTGCTGTGACAGGTGACAGCCTGACACCGGGCCAGCCGGGGATGCGCGGGAGAAAGCGGCTGCTATTTTCAGCCTGGCATAAAAGTGCAAAGATTAATGCTCTGTGTACATAGCAAAGGAGTGGCCCGAACAGATTGTTTTACTGTATTGACAGCCACTGGGGCTGATAACGATGGAGAAAGTCAGCCCCAAAGCGTGTGTGCCAGCCCTGCCTTCTCACCCCACGGAAAGGAAAGTCTCCTTCTCCTGTGAGGAAGGACTTTTGCTGAACTTGATGCACAAGAGATGGGACACCAATGACTCTCCTCGGTCACGCAGGTGCCTGCCAAACCCTACTGAACCCCCCGAAACCTGGATGTGTGTCTCAGATCTGGATCTGATCTCAGATCCCCCAGATCTGGTGATGCAGAGATCACAGGGAGCATCCCAGGGTCACCGATAGTGACAGCACCCCCGGCACAAAGGCTCCACGTTCAGCCCTTCCTAACGCTCTTAGGAACTCAAAACTCTGTTTTAAGAGAGTTCAAACTGTTAGGAACGCTGTTAGGAAGTTAACCATGGAATTAAAGCCCGGTTTTAACAGGAACTGGAATTTACGGAATGACTCTTCGCTTCTCACCACGTCACTGATGATGACGATCGAGTTAATTAAGACACAAAGATCTGACAGGGAGCTCCACATGCTCGCTGGCACTCGGTTTAAAAGGTCTGAAATGTGCCAAGGCGGCGATGGCAGGTGCCTCCCCCCGCCTGGAAACACACGTATTGGGAAGGGTTGATCCAGGGCTGCAGCCCTCGGCTACCGCAGCACCATCTCCCTGCCGTGTGCTTCTGCTATTCCATTCTTAAGGAAAAAGCATGAATATGGAAGTATCTTCTTGAGAGAACCACTGAACTTTCCTTTTAGAGTTTCCTCTTCGTGCCCCACCGTGGGCTGGCATCCCCCAAAGTTAATTAAGACTCGGGTTTGCTGGGACACGTTCATGCCATATTCTCATCATTCAAAACACCAGCAAACAGAAGGTCAGAAATGAAGAGACTGCACGAAGAAGACACCTGGCAGAGAACTTCTAACCCCAAAACCTGTTTTCTGTATCTAAGGGAAGAGATGAAAAAGGAAAGACATCCCAAATTGTCCACA